CTTGTCCGAGACCACCATCTTCTCGTTCCCAACATGAAATGACACGCTGTGCCCCATCGCCTCGGACCTTAGAGCAATGTGTATTAGGAATAAGGCCTCTTGCGTCCGAAGAACGTCCCAGGCATGCCTTTGGTGCCGCTCGTTAACAGGTTCATCTCCAACATTAGTATTGTGTAGGAGACTGAGGTGTTGTGACTTCATGTTTGCGAAGTCAGGGGACTTTCCAAGTGCGTGCACCCTAGTGAGTCTCGTCGCGTTGGGCGTGTTTGCGAAGTCAGGGGACTTTCCAAGTGCGTGCACCCTAGTGAGTCTCGTCGCGTTGGGCGTGTTCATGTAGACTCATCTCTGTCTAGATTTATTGATACCCAATGCTCAACATCGCACCCACCGAATCCGATTCTTGAGAGTAGATTTTGCTCTTGCAGAAGCGGTAGCCGTGCCAAAACGACTTTATTCAACACCTCTGTCAGCACCTCTATTGCGCAGGACGGATCATCTGTGCAAAGACGCGGAACTTTCACTGTCAGTATACGACGATCGCATATCACCAATCCGTTACGTTAGGCCATTCTTTCGGGCCAACGTCGGATTACGAGGCGATTCGTGGATCAACATGCAGGCCTCCCTGCATTCTTGAGCGCAGAGATATTCCTTGGTTGGGCTGTTAACTCAACATCACGCACTAATAGACCGGCGAAGGCCTGATGTCGAGTCGTCCTCCAGCCGACGGGAAGCTCCAACACCAGCCTTCAATGTCACGTATGATCTAAATTTCGCCGTCCGTATCCGAGATTGAAGCTGCTTTTCTTCCTAACCCGGTGGCCAACGAACACATATAAGAGCATCGGACCAGCTGCTGGTGCTGTACGCCGGTAACCGTAGCTACCGCTCACGATCCAATATGTTCAAGAACCTCCTTGTTGTAGTTTTTGCTAGCGTTCTGACCCTCGTGTCGGCGCAGACTATATCTGGGCAGTATGACTGTATGCTTGCAGGAGCGTACACACTTTGTCAGAATCTTTGGGGCGAATGTAAGCCGCGAGGCTTCACTTCTAGTTTCCATGCTAACGTATCCTGACTGTAGCCGCTGGCGTTGGCTCTCAAAACTCGACATTGATGAGCACCGATGGCAATGCCATCACTTGGCAGACGAACTGGACGTGGGCAAATAACAATAACAACGTGAAGAGCTGTACGTTCTCCAAGACGATCAGCTGATAACAGTTTGTGACACTGTTATTCATAGACGCGAACGTACTGCACAACACTGCAAAGGGCATGCAGGTATGACTTTTCCACAGATGAATTGCTCTATATGTTCTAAGCATATCTGCGAATGAGTAGCTCGGAAGCATCACGTCCGCACCGACTGCATGGAACTGGACCTATGTCACCGAGTCCGAGGGCATCCGTGCCGACGTCTCCTATGACATCTGGTTTGGTGTGGCCCAGTCCGGTACCGCCGCTACGTCTGCGTCTTCCTATGAGATGTAAGCGTCGTGTCTCTGTTCCTCCAGTCCACCCCGGCTGACTGGGCTCGACAGCATGATCTGGCTTTCCGGCCTCGGAGGGTAAGCTGTAGACGTGTGTACTACCGTTCTTGGCTCACCATTGGAGTAAGCATCCAACCCGTTGGCCATCAGATTGACAGTGGCTTGAACATTGCTGGGCACACTTGGAACCTCTGGAACGGCCCCAATGCGAACTGGCAGGTCTTCTCCTTTGTTATCTCCTCTGGCGAAGTGAGGAACTTCAGCGCGGACCTCAACGAGTTCTTCCGTACGTTCATATCCCCACCGAGAATTCCCATCGGCTAAAATCGACTTCGTAATAGAATATCTCATTGAAAACCAGGGCGTAGCCTCGACTCAGGTTAGTGTTTCTTTACGTTGTTCAGTAGAGAGCATTGGCTAAAATTCTTTACCGTGAAGTATCTGCAGGCTATTCAGACTGGCACCGAGCCCTTCGTCGGTTCGGCGGATCTGTTTGTCGAGAGCTTCGCTGTTACAGTCAATGTCTGAAAGACGATGTCTCTGAGAGATCGATGCCGTGTAACGCATGGCCTCGGGCTTATCGGTCCTTGCTTCTGCTGTGTATTTAGTACGGTCCAGCGGCTCTGCGAATATCAAATGATTGCACTTTCCCCCGGAAATAGAGTGTCGGCTGCGAATGTTCACCCAGTGCTGATATAGCGGGGATCTGACGCGTCCAGCTCTCTTGCTCTGCGACCACCAAAACGCATAGTGCATTTTACAAGGTAAACTGCGGCCGATGATCACCACTGCATCCGTGTTTCTGGACACACTACGGAAGGCGGGCGTGACACATGCCTTCGTAAACTGGGGCAACGACCACCCGGCGATCCTCGAGGAGCTCGAGCGGCAGCGCGTCGAGGATGGCGAGACGTCTCTCGAGATCGTAACCTCCCCGAACGAGATGGTCGCGCTGAGCGCTGCGCAGGGCTTCGCACAGGTCACCGGCGTACCCGCGCTCGTCATCGTCCACGTTGATTGCGGCACTCAGGTGGGCTCCTCTGTTTCCCAGGCACACTTGACTGTTAATGACGAGTGTCGCTTTCGCAGGCTCTGGCAGGCGCGGTGCACAATGTCGACAGAGGCCGCACGCCGGTGCTCATCTTCGCGGGCATGTCGCCTTTCTCTGGCCAGGGCGAGCTGAAAGGCTCTAAGAACGAGTGGCCGATGTGGCCTCAGGGTGCGCTGCTCTCATTTCTCGATCCCACGGCCTTCGCAGCTGAAGCGGCGCGCTAGACATACCCGACCAGGCTGCGATTGTGCGG